CAAGCCAATGCAGCAAATAGGAAATTCCAATGAAGACGTGCCCCATCCAGCCTCCGTAACCTGTGCAGCCTCTGACATCCTTTACGGCCCTTTTATAGCCTTTATACCGGCAGGGTATACAGTGCATGACCTCCCGATGCACTTAAGTGCATCGATTTCAAATTCGAATTCCAAATCCTTTTCTCGCTGTCGACCGAATCTTTACTTCTGTTCCAGAAATCAACTGGGAAGTCTTTCCGTTAAAATGAAAGGCGGTAGGCTAGACGCGGTCGTGCGTTTAGGAAAATTTCAATGCAGCCTCACTTGACACCTGTAACATTTCTGAAAGCAGATCCACTCGCCAACCCGAGTACTCGGCCTGGAATTAAGAAGGTTATTCGCGATGCGGATGCGCTTGTGAAATTTCACAAAGACTACGGATCCTCCTCGTGCGGCGACCATCAATGTTACTCCCATAGTCTTCTCCTTTCTTCTTTTCTCTCTTCTTCCTTTACCCTCGCTAGCCAGAGTGTCTCACTCTTCTCCGTTATGATGTGCCAGATCATTTTTCAGTAATTGGATACAACTCCAACCGTTCTGATTCATTGGCTGGGCTCACGGAATTTCAGTTAACCTCACGGTGCAGCAATTTGTGCGTTCCTATTGACAACGATCGAATCTCATAAAGATCATCCGATCGATCCAGGACTTCAGAGACCCATGGGAATTTCCTTGACTCCCGTTATTCCCCAAAGTGATACTTTGCTGCACAAAAAGTATCCGAATCACAGAGTCATTAAGCTCGAACGTTCTTTGCCAATCTCGACATTCGAGCTACCGGCGATTATCAGATTCCTACAGTTTTACACGAATTTTCCTACCGATCTTGCAGCAATCGTACCGATCTAGTCGATAGTTAGTCGGGCCGGGATCTATCGATTCGTCATGGCTGCTACCCAATGGAGAATTTACCTACCGAAATCCCTTGCGTTTCGCCCCGGACGTCACGTAGAACAATAGCGAAATTCGCATTCCACCTTTTCACCTTCCGCTACTGGTTTTATGTTCTGTACATAGTAAACATCCGCGAATACTTCGATTGCGTCAGGAACAACGATCTGCTCTTTTAGACGCCTCCTCGCGAATACGTTTTATTTTACATTCGCCTGGTACAGGTTGTACTCACGGACGATCTTTAAGACCAGTGTCTTTCGATCTTTCATCTTCCCCGATGTTTATCACCATCCGAAGCTGCATATACGTCTTCCTCGTCGACCTTGCGAAATACTATTTTGCTCGTTCACAACGCTATTTAGATCCTCGTTAGTTCTACCTTGGTAATACATGGTAATTGCGATAACGGGGCTACCGTTTACTGCAATAGCTGCCGGACCTGATATTCTGTTTTGCAAAACTCACTGTCGCCAATATCCGAGTTCGTTCCTTAATATCAGAATGATGACGCGAGCGGCGATTCAATGCGTAAGAAAGGAAGAGGCGAAGAAGAGGACCGAAGGTGACGACTGATCGATCGAGGCGCCCATAAGGAAACACTCGGCAGCCATTATCGAGTCGACAATGAATAAGGAACAGTGGGATAGCAGGGACTATTGTTTCGATTGAAAATCCACGAATCGAGAAGCAAACAATCGCCAGTTGTAAAACAAACGATAAATCACTGTCAGCGACTGTTGGCATGGACGGTATAGACAGAGCGAGCAAAGCGCATCAGCCACGGCCAATGAAATAGTCATTTGCGAATCCATGAAGATTCGAGATATCGTCGCCTCGGAGCCGACGGAAAACTATGCCGAAAAATATGGCGAGTCAAGGAATCAAAATAGAAATTGAAAGGGTTACGCAGACGATAAGAAATAAATGGGACAGGTTCGCGAAGAGCGATTAAGAACTTTTTAGTAAGGGAATCGTCTTTGCATACCGGTTGGATCCACCTTGGCCCATTCTCACTTTCCCAGGACGAGCGCAACACGTATCGCTGCTGGGTCCGCGACAGCGTCGGGACGGCCGGCGTAACTCCCTTGACGTACCGGAAACAGGTCGTGAGCATTATGGTCGTTGCTGACGTTCAGTAAGACTTGGACGCTCACGTGAAAACGGACGAAAGTACACGTGCGATAGTTTTTAGGAAATTTTCCTTAAGGGTCGGACACTTCTTGAAATTCGATTCCCGATTCGAATTAATGGCTTCCACCTTGGCCCACTGACGCTTCTCACAAACTTAACAATCGTGCTGAACAATGAGCGCGTGGCGCAAACTCGACTCTGGCTATAATACCATTTTAATTGTGCGTGACAGTACGCAATTCCCTGTTAAGACTGCCTAACGCGGTTCTACGTAATTGTCGCGTATGGTAAAAGGACTCGTAAGGATTTTAGAGTTACGAGTCATTTTGAAAAATTTAATTTTCTTTTTTTTTTTTCATCCCCTATATCCAGCCTTGTTATTATTAGTCTGTTATTTTTTTTTTAATTTTCAAAAATTTCTATTTGACGATCGACTACCTTCACCGGGTTCGATGACTGTCCTTTGCAGGTAAGAATGAAAATAAAAGGAAAAGATAAGCCAAGAGAGAAGCGAGGTCGAGTCCCGCGTCCCTCGAGGCGTCGAGTCTGCTTCTGTTTTTCGCGGGCGATAATGCTGGCTGCTCGCGCAATAACAGACGGCGGAACAATTAGAAATCCAAGCGAGGCGCAAAGCCCAGCAGACAGGCAGACGCACATTAGATAGGCTGCCTGGAAGCATGAATAATTCATAAAGAAGATTAATACGCTTAGTACTGACAGTATCGTGCCTGCGTAATCGCTAGGAATCCTGACTCAAACTCAAATTTACTAATGGCGAGCACGCATTTACGTCGACCCGACGACACTTCCATTTGTCCATTCGATTGGCACATCTTTACTGGGTACTTTTGACTTGTCTTCCTAGCGATATGTCGATTGTCCTATTAACTCCGGTCGCCCCTCTCGACCCACCTAGCTCCTCGCCGTTGCACCAGCCCATTTGCATTTTAGCCACGAATTCTTTTCCCTCCCGACGACAATGGCTCGTCGTAAGAACCGGAGCAGAAAATTGGCCAGCACCTTGGCAGAAATGGCAATATGCACCGGGAGTGTTACGGCTGCGCTTAGGATCATAAAATATGCAGACGACTCGGAATAATATTTCGTGGCGTCGCCTCGGTGCGCTTAGCCTTTCATAGTTGGGCCAGTTTGCCGCCTTGTAATCTTCAAGCATCTTGAAGGCAGCCGCACTCGGGATTCTGTATTTGCATACGTCAAGAGAGCGTTCTTCAATTTGTCATACGGACTGCGACTTGTCTAGTTCGCGCATATGATAGGCGGATGCAACGACTGGATAAGTGCGCCACTAGGGAAATGCGGAATTGTCAGGAAGCTTTGGGCTTGTTTTTTTCCTGGAGCGTGACGTCACGTCTTTTAGTTTTATCAACCGTACAATATTTTATTTATACTTTGCTTTCTTGCTCATTGTCTTTGTTTCATCTGCAGTTTCAATGAGAACGACCTTAAGGAGCTTTCTATTAAACATGACAGCCGTCAGGAAACATGGGACTGATTTTTATCTATTGTCAACCCGAGGCTAAACGTCTGATCGGCAGTTGCTTAGCTTTGAGCTCTGGGCGGGAAATTTAAATTTTCCTTTAACTTTGTCATTGCAGTCATCTCCGTGATCGATGATCCATTTGGACGTAAATCATTTTCTTAGTGTCGATGACAGTTATGGCTGCATTGAACTGAAATGACAATTTCCGCATAAATTTAAAGCATCCGCGTCCCACTGGATAAATTTAACGAGCACTGGCATTTTATTAGCTGGAAACTGAAAAAGCTCAAGACGACGATTAAAAGAAATGTGTTATCGATAGTAAATTTGATGTTTCGATTAATTCGAAAGTAAATCAATCGCCAGGCATCTTTTTATTGACACGAACGAAGCCCTCGGGACACGTCTCGTAAAGTCCGATTGGAAAGACGGGAAAAAAGGCAGTACGTAAAAAATACTTACTCTTCGTACGTCCTGTACTCGTGTACAATCCCTATCGGAGATATAGGTAAAACCTACGCATCACCGACTTACGCAATGAACTCACGTTCACGTAGAATCGCCCTTCTTGCCGTACGTGAAAATAAGAAGAAATTCAAGAAGAAAATTGCAATAACTTTTCAAAGTCCTACGTGAATAAAAAATGTATTCTCAAAAAAAAAGAAAAAAAAAACCTAAATCGTCCAGAGATATTTTTTATAAATTTTCCGAAAAAATCGGTCAAGACAAAAACTCAACGAGGGACCAGAAAATAAGGTACGAGACTCAAAGGATGCGAGTGGAGTAAAATCGGAGATCCAAAGACACTGATGGAGGATGATCATGATCCAAGTGGCAGATCGATCCTCACCGCGAAGAAGAGCAGCATGGAATACGAATAGACTGGATGGAAGATGTTACTCTACTTGCAGTATTTCACTTTCACTAACCCCGGCCTCCCACGAGCTCATCTCCCGTAGATTCCCCCATTCCCTCGTTCCCCCCATTCCGCAATTCCATTCCGGAGTTCCTCTCTCTCGCTCTTTCTTCCCCTCTTCCCAGTCGGCGGGTCACTTACGTCGTGAGGTCGTCCGTCGTCGTTTGCCGATGGCATGGCATCGCATGGACAAACCATGGCATCCCATGCCTTGCGACTCCAACCTGTCCCCCTGGTCCACCTGGTCCCCCTGGTCCTCCTGATGATCATCATCCGCCACCAGTACCCCGTAGCTCCTGCCCCGTTCCCCGTAGGTCCCTCGTAGCTCCCCAGTAGATACCCAGTTGATGCCCCGTTGCTCCTCGTTCTTGCTGTGCAAGTGATGGGGAGCAGCACTCTTGGCCTCAAGAAACGAGGAGGCAGATGGAGGTTGTAGGATGAGCAAGCATCCCCGGAGGTCGACCTGGTGGGGACCGAATAGGTTTCGGGGTGCGATCCAGGGGTATATATGTTCAGGACGACACCTCCACCATCAGTCACCTTCTGACTTACCTACATCCCAGTGTTCACTTGGGGATCGGTTAGGTGAGTTTACAAGCTCATCTCTTTTTTTTCATTAATCAGTTTTCCAATAACTCATCTTTTTATCGTCTCTGAATATTTTTCACACTCCAGATCAATCTTCACTCTATATTCCGTGTTGTTCGGGAAGATTTCGTTCCTTGTGATTTAATTGAGACAGTGATTTTTTCCTTTACTTTTTTTTTCAAAGAATCAGGGGATACGGTGTTATGTAAATTTTTCATTGGACGTTTCAATATATTCGTATATCGTTTCGTATATCGTTGCTTTTCCAAGTTTGTGCTTTACATTGATAACGAGATGGGAACTGTGAGTAAACGCCTTTGAAAAATGGGAGACGTTATGGAAATTCCATCGCGCTGTCAATTATTGTCTTCGCTGTGAGATTATAGCTTTTCTCTTGTAAACTATTCCTCTTCCTATTTCCAGCGTTTCTATTAGTGGAAATAAAAAATCTGTACCGGCGACAATCGCGAATTATATATTTATAAATGCGCAGCATCCGGTTTCAGTACCGCGTTGTATAATATCTGTCGCTTCTTATTTCCAGACTTACACTTTAAGGAAGGCAGCACCAACAAACATGAAGTTGTGTTTGTTGTGGATCGGTAAGTCATCGGAATTCAAACTAATTAATAAACATTATTAACATTCGCTGCAACACTCCCCGTAAGATAAATTCCAAAAAAATAAAATTCCCTGAAAAAGTCAAAAAAAAATAAGAATCGTAAAATTTATTTCTACGCTCGCGCAATCCTCGTGACAAGAATCGCTGCACGATCTTCAACAGAGCCTAACCTTCCTCAAGGCGAGAAGATCAGAACTCCGGATAGAAATTGCGAAAGTTATCTCATCAAACGGGAATAAAACAGCACATGAAATGTACCCGTAATCGCAAAAGTTCGAAAGAATTCAAGCCAAATCGTCGAGCTAAATACAATAAATTTTCGAGAATTCCACAAGTGTTACTCGAGCTCGCCCTCCCCCTAGGCCAACTCTCTGTCCTCCGTATATTTTCGTAATTTCCTCTAATTAAAATAAACTTAAGGCACGGTCCATAGATTGCACACAGTAGCATTGTTCGGAGACTTTTACCATCCACGAGGTAAACTCAGGCCGCCTGCGCCGTTTACGGCTGAAGATCCGCGCCGTGAAATAAAGGTCAAGTGTATGCAGTAGCTGGCCAACGTAATTGCTTCCATTGCCGATCGCTGCTTTTATACAGTTTGTACCAGCAACGAATACAAGCTGTGAGATAAGTAAAATTAACTAGCCGTTGGTACACGTACAATTCAGACGTATCCCGCGAGTCCTAAATTTTCAAGATTCCTCGGAATCGCGAGCCGCGAATCGAATGGGAAAGATAAAGCTGATCGTGGTATTACACGACTGTAGCATGGGTATTGTTTGCCAGACCAAAAAAAAGAAGACAAAAAGAATGAAGACGGATGATGAAAAAGTGGTAGCAAACGGATGCGTTTAAAATAATGCGTTGCTAGTTACCGTCGCTATTTAGTTGGGTGAACGATAACCGTTACAGAAATTATGCAGAGTGTGCATAGAGAAAACACGCAATCGGGACGAATGCTTCGTCCGTTTGTGTGTTTAAACGTGGAGCCGCGCTGTCGCGCCGAAGACTCCAGCGGGGACGCAGATGCGTGCGAAGCTCACACGAGAGAAATGACTTGAAAAATCTCTGACATAACTTCCCGCTAATTAATTAGGAGCATTGTTGGCCTGCACAAAGCGCGACACACTCAGGTTCTCACACCAGGTAGGAACAGAGAGACAGGGATGCACATGTACACGCGGACGCGCAGGAAAGCCTGAGGATAAACAGCTGTCATTCTGTGCAGGTGTAGATTCTGTAGATATATTGGTATCTCCGGTCCTCGTCTGATTATCTAGCCTCCACTTTCGTAATCAGACTTTTAACGCTGCTCCGGGCCTCGCACTAATTTCGTTTCCTTTCATTTCAGCCTTGCTGGCTATCGCTCGTACGTCCGTGGTAAGTTTCAGTTTCATTCGCATTAAATGAATTTTATGAACCTCGCTGTAAGACCTTGCGTCATTTTTGCACGCGTGTTTTGACTAATCTGAAAGTTTGTTTAGTGATTTTTTTTAATCATTTTGGAGAAGTATAGAGATCAAGTTGAATGCTTTGGGTATTGTTTGATGTTTTGTTTTTAGGCTCAGAATGGATACAGCTATCCGAAACCGAATAATCCTTTGATACCAGGAGGTTCTCCGGGTACATCGAAACCTGGTGGTGGTTTTCCGGGACTTTCGGATGAAGGATTCCCAAGTCCTGGGTCGGGACCGTCTGGTACTCCAGGCTCTTCTGGCAAGCCTGGAGATTCTTCTGGATATCCTTCTGGAGGTCCTGGTGGTCGTCCTGGCTCGCAGCCTGGTGGACAAGGACCCAATGGACCGAATGGGGGATATCCTTCTGGAGGTCAAGGACCCTCCGGTGGATATCCTAGTGGACGACCCTCTACTCCATTCCCAAACGGAGGACAAGGTCCTAATGGTGGGCAAGGACCACAGGGCCCTGGAGGAAAACCTGGTGGGCAGAACGGATATCCCAGTGGTCGTCCTGGAGGTCAAGGACCAAGTTCAGGTTATCCCAGTGGGTCACCTTCAGGGTATCCGGGTAGACCGCAAGGGCCTCAAGGACCCGGTGGCAAACCACAAGGACCTTCTAGCATTCCTTCTCCCGGATTTCCAAATGGACGCCCAACTGGTCAAGGTCCTAATGGTGGACAGGGCCCACAGGGACCAGGAGGTTATCCTAGTGGTGGACAGGGTCCACAGGGACCGGGAGGTTATCCTAGTGGTGGACAGGGCCCACAAGGACCCAGTGCAGGTTATCCAGGACAAAGACCAAGCGGTGGACAGGGTCAAGATAAACCAATATATGGCCCTCCTAACGGAGGACAAGGACCAAGTGGTGGAAAAGCTCCCCAAGGACCTTCGGGTTATCCCAATGGTGGGCAACGACCTCAGGGACCTTCAGGTTATCCCAGTGGTGGACAAGGGCCTCAGGGACCTTCGGGTTATCCCAGCGGTGGACAAGGACCTCAGGGACCTTCTGGTTACCCTAGTGGAGGAAAGGGTTCTCAAGGACCTTCTGGATACCCTAGTGGTGGACAAGGTCCGCAAGGACCTTCCGGGTATCCCAGTGGTGGACAGGGATCCCAGGGACCTTCAGGTTATCCCAATGGAGGACAAGGTCCTCAAGGACCATCTGGTGGTTTTCCATCCGGAGGCCAAGGACCTCAAGGACCATCTGGCGGTTTCCCATCCGGAGGACAAGGACCTCAAGGACCTAGTGGAAGACCTGGAACCGGTGGATTCCCAGGATCAGGCCCATCTGGTCCCGGATTCCCAGGAACACCTGGAGGATTCCCAAGTGGACAAGGCCCTCAATCCGATGAAGGAACCTACGATGAAGGCGACTATTCCGCCATTCCTGGAGAGCCTGGCCGAGATTATCCAATTTACGCTGACATTCCTGAAACCGGTTTTCGGTGCGATGCCCAGCAATATCCGGGCTACTATGCGGACGTCGAAACTCAATGTCAAGTCTTCCATATTTGTGCGAACAACAAAACGTATGATTTCCTCTGTCCAAACGGAACGATTTTCCATCAGCAGTACTTCGTTTGCGTCTGGTGGAACCAGTTTGACTGCAATTCAGCACCGAGTTTCTTCTACTTGAATGAGAACTTATACGACTACACCATCGTTGGCAGTCAAGGCCCTCAAGGTCCAGGCTTTACGGGACCTTCCGGACCAACTGGAGGATATCCTGGTACACAGGGTCCATCAGGACCTAGTGGCCCATCTTTCCCAGGGCAAGGACCATCAGGACCCTCTGGCCCATCTTACCCTGGACAAGGACCATCTGGACCTTCTGGTCCATCCTATCCTGGAAAAGGACCCTCTGGACCTTCTGGCCCATCTTATCCCGGACAAGGACCTTCTGGCCCATCGTATCCTGGACAAGGACCCTCTGGACCTTCTGGCTCATCTTATCCCGGACAAGGACCTTCTGGCCCATCGTATCCTGGACAAGGACCCTCCGGTCCTTCTGGCCCATCCTATCCGGGACAAGGGCCCTCAGGTCCCTCTGGCCCATCATACCCGGGGAAAGTACCCTCTGGACCGTCCGGTCCATCTTATCCCGGACAAGGACCTTCTGGCCCATCGTACCCAGGTCAAGGACCTTCAGGACCCTCTGGCCCATCGTACCCAGGACAAGGACCGTCAGGACCTTCCGGTCCATCGTACCCAGGACAAGGACCTTCAGGACCCTCTAGCCCATCGTACCCAGGACAAGGACCGTCAGGACCTTCCGGTCCATCGTACCCAGGACAAGGACCTTCAGGACCCTCGGGCCCATCCTACCCAGGACAAGGACCTTCAGGACCCTCTGGCCCATCGTATCCTGGACAAGGACCTTCTGGTCCATCGTATCCCGGTCAGGGACCACAAGGAGGACCAGGAACACAAAGACCGGGTGGTCCAGGTGGATATCCAAGTGGCAAACCTCAAGGACCATCAGGTCCATCAGGACCATCCGGTCCCGGGTTCCCTACAACCCAAGGGCCGCAAGGACCCCAAGGCGGCCCCAGCAGCCCTGGTGGATATCCCAGTGGCAGACCTACTGGTCCAGGATTCCCCAGTGGACCCTCAAGTCCGTTCCCAGTTGGAAAACCTCCCCAGTCAGACACGCCGTTCCCACCTCAAGGCCCGTCAAAGCCAGAGCGTGAGTATTTGCCACCACGAGCCGGATAACTCTGCAAACTTGCATTCGACAATCTAGCCAATGCCCACAGCGATCCCACCGTTGTTGGTGCTGGACCTTAAGTGTAAATACGAGCCTCCTTACCTAATAAGCCTAATAAGCTTTCTAAGCCTACCTAAGTAATACATCCTAACTGTGTTACTTATTACTTATACGGACAACTCTACGTATATAGGCGAAATACTATTAATTATTTTTACATAAATAAGACGTTGAAGAAATTTCGTCGCCGTCCGACTTTAACGCCATAAAAAAAAAACGAACAAGCAATATCAAGACAAACTAACGAGCAGATGAAGATCTTCCATCATCAAGATTCCACGTTAACAATGTGAGTTAAGATGATCTAATCTAATGCTGTAATAACTTCTGCCTGCGGCCACTTAAAGGACGGACGTCGACTTTACAACTTATGAGTATTATTACACAACGTATTTATTTATTCAGCTTGAATAGAATTCCAGTTACCACAGAGAGGTTACCAGTATAGATTACTATTTTAGATGATATCGCTAGGAGGACTATTATCCACATTTTTACATTTTTCAATATTTTTTTTTTCCAAAAATTTTTAAGTCACGTACCCGTGACCATTCCAATATTATAACGTTCGTATTACCACAGTACCGCTCAGCAATATTATTACAGTTAGGCAATACATGACACAATTCTAATTATATATATTTTTATAACAATGGTTTGAGACTCCTACGTGGGATGCCATTATGTATATTTTATACGTGAAATAAAGGAAACACCTTTGCAACTATTGTGCCGTTCTATTATATACGATTACTTAAGCCTTTAAGACTGTTAAACCGCATCCATCCACAATCCACATGCAGGGCACACACGTTACCAGCCATTACATATTGCCTTTCCCTTTCTTCTCATTACCGTAATTACTCATATCGGATTGTTCCTCGGTGTCAGTTACATAAATTCGTAAAATCCGCGCATGCGCAAAAGTGCCGGTATGCGCATCTACATTGCTTCTTCAAATTTCCCGCTTTCTCGTAACTCGATAATAATTTTGTCATTCGACGCGAAAAAATGTCCTGTTTCTCAACGCGGGACGTGACCGTAGATCGTTACGTGGCTACCGAACAATTCAAGCTCATTGCAATTTATCATTTCGTATACGTATATATAATTTATGGTCAGATCAGTCATCGATTTCAACCGATAAAAAATGTGCATCAATTTCCCTATGATGGAATAAGAGAATTTTGAAATTACAGAAGCCGCTCACTCGCGACTGTCGTCGTACGCGGATTCCTACGTGATAAAATTTACTGAACCACCGTAATGATATCTTTGAGAAGCATGAAATATACATGTAATTAAGTGAATGCGAAATCACCACGTGCACCGTCCGCGAATCTTCTCTGGGATCCGAGAGATCGCGATACTTCGCTTGCAAATAAGGCACGTATCAAATTGTTAACTAATACATAGTTGTGCCAATGATAGTTGTCAAGATCGTGATTAGACGTGAGTTACCTGCGCGTAGACATATGTCTTTGTCCAATCGTATGTTCACGCAAGTAACCACGTGTCCTTTTTAGGGATGCAGAATTACGAAAAAAAAATACATTGCATGAAGAATTTCAATCAGCTAATTAACGAGCTAATTACTTTTGGATGATAAAAAATAATTACGAACTTTAAGACTTTTTTTTTCTATAAAATAAGAAAATCAAAAATGACAGTGCCAATAATTTTGAAAATAAATTTGCAAAATTTACTCCATCGACGTAATAATCGTCCGTATCGTGTGACCTGTCAGCCGCTATAGCCAGCGTGAAATCAATCTCATGGATCAGCGCTCCCCGAAGTACTTTCAAATTCGATTTGCATTTAAACCATAGATAGTTACGGTCCATTGTTGTGTCGTTAGCATCATCGCTTCATGATGGAAGAGGCGTGATGCTGGGCTGGGCGTAAATGCTGAAATACATTAAGCGCCGAGTAAATGATGATAGTTATTAAAATACTAGTGCGAAGATATCAGGTAAGCATCTTGGCCAGTAGATTGCTATTAGTAGCAGGCTGGTTATATTCTAATGAATTAGAAAATAATTTAGCCGCGACTTGAGCAGACGTGGCAATTAGTTTGGCACGAGTGTAAGTAAGTTTATGATCTCTGAATCACTGAGTATTATATATTGTTACGTCACTACCGATATTAATTATCAGTAAGGCAAATAAAAAATTTGAAAAAAAAATCTAATTAAATTTCATTCTCTTAGGAGACATCGATTAAATCACGCTATTGTCTGTGTATCCTTGATAGTTTAAAATGAATTTAAAAAAATTATCCTAAAGTCTGAAAGATAATTGGGCAATTGACGTCACTTACTGGGAACGTATCCAGAACGAAGTCCTATTGTGAGACTTCGGTGTCGAGAGGCGCCGTAAAAAAAAAAAAAAAAACTCCAAGCATCAACCATTACACGTGGGAATAAATGCAATTATGATAGATTACACCGCAGAGAAGATGCTACGTGCCAAAGTAGTTGCGCAGTTTAAAAAGCAGGAGGTAACGAACGGAACGCGGTCAAGATGACAGACCGGGCAATCTTGGGTCCATAATCGGGCAGGATCTCTGCCTTCTGGTGCACCTCGACACGTGTCCACCAGGCCTTGCGCATACTGATTTATAGTTGACCATCCCGAGTGACCGATTGACCATAGTAGCAGCATCGGCAAGAAGAAGAGCCATCGACGGGGGCAGCACCAGTTTCGGTTTAAAACGATGAGAAATCACTGGGTCGGATGCTGCACTACATAAACAAAAGGCGACGACCTTCCTTGGGATGTCGCGACGTCAAGTAGAAAAGCACCGGCTGGTCGGGATGACACGCTTTACCGCCTTTGAGATCAGATCGGTTTCTCACCATTGAACACTAATTGCTACATGGACTCACAGTGCGGACACTTCCATCGAATCGGTAGCAAAGATACTAAATATCCTTGGCAATAATTATTTAAGAATGACTTGCCGAAGCGTCCTCGGTGAGCGTTCGTGACGAACGGTAATGAATGACGGAGCCATTGAGTGTTCGTTATGGATGCTATGGATATTCTCGTAAGGGCCATGCGTAGTCCAGGGAAGACGTGCGTCGATGTCGAAGAAGAAATAAGAAAGTAAACGGGAGAAAGAGGCTTCTTTGGTGGTCGATGGGATACACCTCGAGCCATAAATCATGATAGTCAGCCCTCGGTGACACAGGTGGCACTGGTGTCAACAGTCGTGTAAAACACGCGTCGACGCATCGGCCTTAACTGCAATGTGCAACGCGAGTGCAAGAGAAATGTAAGGAGTGACGATGCAACTCAGAGACGCGTAGAACTGACGGCCGGCTTGTTTACAATAAGTCATTTCGCTCGGTGGTCGTTCAACATCGTTGTCAGGGCCGTGGCCGAGCAATTGGTTATTCTCGAAAGTTCGGCTGGAGTTCTTGTTTCTCCTGGGACTGCCGGGACGCTTTTTAATTTTCGAATTACTCAGTCAGAATCACTCGATCCGATCATGCACGATGCTCGAGACTCTTTTACTGTCTGGAATGGAAGCTGCAACCGGTTCGCTTGACGGGCTTGTGCCACTGTCATTATCATTCTCATTGTCATTGAGATTCTTGACGTCGTACGAGGTAATCACAGATCTGACGTAATCGATACCAGCCACGCTTCTGTTCCTTCTAGTATGTTAACCCTTTGTTTATAATATTTACAAAGTTAATTCAGACTTCAGCAGCGTAATTTTGGGTTGGCAGCAATGAAATAATCCCTGGGATTAATAGTCTTCCACTTCCTGAATGCACGCTTGTCTTGTCGAGTGTATGTAAAATATGCAAACACCTTATAAAAAAAATACGTACCGACACTCAAAATCAAGATTTCCGGACGAGACTTCGCGCGTGCTTATTTACTTAACAATATTTTTCTTAGTTAGGCCAAGACCATTATTTCGAGTCCGCCCATGTTTTCTCCAGCACAAAGAAACCAGCGTCGATCTGACATAAGATGAAAGCCAAGTGTTTGTTTTGATATCCACGCTTTCTAGACACTATCGATTATGAGAATGAAGATGTTACCGGAGTTCGAGTGGCTCTTACCGATACAAGATAGTCGATGGATACATGCTAAGAATAACACGTAAATGCTAGATACAAATGGCTCAAGATCTGCCATGAAAACACGAACATGACGTGCGCCTTGGTACGAACCTGCAAACGTATAGTCTCTTCCCACTCCTTCCCAGAGTGCACGTATGGTATCCATCATTCTTCACATTTTACATACTTCAGTGCAATGTAATGTCTCACTGATTTAGAAGTAACGTGCACGTCGATACTCTTCGTAACGGAGGTGGTAAGGAACACCAGCCATTTCTCATAATCGCAAAGAAACAACTCGTGAGTGGCCAGGCGCTCGAGGCGCCTCGGGACAAATTACAGGGAAGATTGGCGAGCGCTCCTAATTGCGAGAACTTTTGTCATGAACTTTTCGACGGCCGGTAAAACAGTCTAAGACGTGGCAGCAGTCAGGCTTCACCGTAGAGGCGTAATATTGGCTCGCGCGTCGCCCTGTAACGCTTGAATCCTCTAAATGGATTGACCTCAATCGAATTCGCATAAATACTTCAATAAGAATTCTCTGTTTCGGTATATGGCTGTACTAGCCGCGGGCTGTAGATATGGTCGCACGCTTATCCTTTATAACATTGGTGCGAGATGCTCGAAAAGACTCTTACTTTTTTTTGTATACTTTTTTTTCCTCATTTTCGTTCCCTTGGATAGATGACGTCGTGTAAGTTGAACGTGTAAGTTGAAATTACGTTGGTACTGTGGGAAATCAGGGTTAGGAGAGAATTTAATGACCTGTTGGAATTTGGCTGTTTCGACATACGCTTTGTGCTGTGAGGTAAGTTGAGCTGTATGATTTTAAAATGGTGGGTCGTTATTCACATGAAATATATTTAATTGATTTTATGCTTGAAGTGACTAATTACAAAGCATATAATTAGCTATTAGCGTATTGTGGTCACACTGGGTGACTATTCCCAATGGAATTCTATGCTAACGACATACGATTCTGGTAAACAGGAATTGTATGCAAAATGTGTATTTAACAAAATCGTTACGGGCTGTGCAATCTCATTCAACGGCGCTGGTGAAACAAAACTCGATAAACCGCTAATTCTACAAACAGTTCAACACCTTAACGCTGTTCCCAAGCCTAGGGGAGCGTTCCTATGAATATTCAGCCTTTATTCGTTAATCTGAGAATAAACGAATTCCAAGACCCGGACAGCCTCGCTGATCAATACGACAGTACAGATAGTCACTAAACAGTCTGTGGCTCATAGAAAGCAGACTTAATTAGAGGTTCATTAATTAAGCCAACCAACTGTATACTATGTGATTATCCAGTTACTTGGTATACTACAGTAGTTTGTGTAAATTTCAAAATAAATAGTTCCTGCAAGAAAATCGAATACAACCTTTTACGAGAATAACCAAAGGCATTGCAAAATGAATAGAATTAAGAAAAATATACAAATTACATATTACGTCAAAGATGTCGATGATCGTATTGTGAAGTTAACGTGAGTTAAGATTCCCCATCTTTCTCCTTGGGTCAGGTCAGGTAGGATAAGACCTTGCATGCACGAAGGTGTCAGAATGGTAATCACAATTTAATAATTATTAGGATAAGACTTTCTTATAATACCGTATTGCCTCGTTTCACAGGACGTTACTCCAATACGAGATGAAAAGATCGATCGGTCCATTCGATTGGCATTAAACATTTTCACGTGATCATCCATCAAGCTGGTATCACTCGGCGGTAGCGTAAAAGCGCCACGTCGTAAGTCGTAACATTTGAGAAAGATTGCGAGAGCCTATTTAATCGAGGCAGCCAGATAGGAAGGCAGCAGCTAGGCTATTGGGTGGTTAAAGTCAGGTACTCGAACCAGGTACTCCTTTAATCGAGCGTGACGATATTTCGTACGGCTCGTAACGTCCGACGGAGATGCGCCAAGATCTTGAGGTTTTCCTTCCTTTTCAAAGAAATAATAATAAATAGCTCCAATCGATGGTAACAGCCACACCAAGATAAATTACGTGGATTTATTAAATGATCAACTGCCTCTATTAACGGCCCTGATCGTGGGAAGATTCACCCAAAGGTAACGGGCAATTACAGAGCGGCCGACGAAAAGGTCAATCAAGCATGCTCTCAAATTATTAATCCAGCACGAAATTTTAATGACACCATTACGCGTGGGATTACGAAAATTTTTCTACTCATTGCTACCCCCCATTGCAGCTGTTTTTTATTTTTGAAAAATTATTAATAATTTCAATGCGTCCTTATATCGATCATGAACAATCAAATGTCTTGGAACATACTTACCAATGTTATTCTTACAGTAGCCGATCGGTCCGGTGGGATCGGTAGTACCTGTCAAAGAGATCCATTCTTCTCCGACCGATCCGTCCCAGAGGAGCCGCCATTACTATAGGGATCGGATGATTCGCATGAAAATGCACCTTAGATAAATTCATCGACTGGCGCAACTATGCGAGGTGCCGATCCTAGTCATCCTAGTCCTGGTAACACGGAGCCAAAGAATCAGCCACTTTCTCCACGATTCCCCGGTATCCATCCGCTACGTATACATCGTGCCCGTTAGTCCCAGATAGCCATTTCTTTTTGCTCTCTTTAGTATCTTCTCTCCAGTGTTTACAATCCTTCTAGCCCCGAGACAGAAATATCGCGATAGGATCGCTCGAACGATCCTCCGAACCGTTCAGGACGATCAGACTCCGTATGTAACCCACGTGGATTCTTTGGATCGCGCGATAATTGCCAAGGCTAATAAACGAGTCTAGTAATTTTTCTATAAAAAAGCTCGTCCACCCCGCCTGCTCCATTTCGAAAGAATTGTTTACCTTAGCTCGACAACGAACGGTCATCGCGTGGAGCCTCTAACGATCCGGAGCCTCCGATCGTCCGAGGCTTCGCGATCGTTATGTAGCCATAGTTACCAGGTTAGCTCTTTGACCCTAGATCGCATCGGCGAACGACATAGTAAACGAACACCTTCTTCCGTTTGAATTACCTTTGAATTACGTTAGTTGAGAAACGGACAAACACAAAGTCCAATCAGGACATACATAGTCGCACCGTATAAGTCATTGGTACTTCATGCCAGACCAATACAATTTATCTATAATTCACAGAGGAACAATTCCGTGATTATATTGTTCTTCTCGAAATTTCTCCATCCAGCCTAAGTAATTTCGCGAAAAAACACATAGCTGACATTTGCATCGCGTTGGATCTAAGAACGAAAGAATATCGAAAATTACCGGTATCTCTCCATTTGATCATTGAACTTACATAAGGAGGCGCCGACCTCTTTCTACGTATTTCTTTATGGAAGCTACGGGTGACTTCCTTAAGGCGATATATGTATAATGAAAATGCCAGTAATTCGAGAGTGAAGCGATACGTGCCTGCCCCGTGTATGGCGCTGGATGATACCTTGCAAAATCGTATCCTCCCGTACCAAGTGTGTAGGTAGCCAGGTAGATGGAATCGGGAAACGAATATATTCGTACATGCACAGCCACCTTAACTAACGACGCCATATCGCAATTAATTGAAACGAAGCAGCGATCCGTATCTGCGACCATCGCGCATTTAAATGAAATAAAGACGTGTATCTTGTTTTGTGTCTATAGTACTTGCAGCCTAACCTAACCCAAGAGCCTCCCGATGCACCAGCTACCGCCTTATTGCTACCAGCTCCTCTTCGTGTACCACGCTTGGGCTCTGCTCTGCTCTCGAGGCTACAATTATCTCTGCGCTCTACTGCTGCGAGGCAGGAAAAGGTCGGAGTTGATGCAATCGCGCACGATACCCGCACAATATGCCGGCTGTGTGGTTAGGTTACAAGAGTTGGCCAACTCGGGGCTCAATTAAGTTTAAGGCGGGTTCGAAGGCGTTTATCAATAGGGGGACGGGAGTCGATCGTTACGTGAGCCAGAAGTTTGCGAACTCGAGATCTTCCGTGGGACGTAAATCCGGAATCACATATTTTACTCCCCTAGATCCTCCCACAGCATCCCGTGTCCCCTTGTCTGTTCAATATCTCCTTTTAGAAAATCTCCGATCTGAAAATGTCCAGCGTTATCTTTTATTCATTGCTCGGTACGAGATCATCCTTAGCCAATTTGCAGGAATTCTCTTTACGGTTAATTTATGGCGCGTCCAACTTCGTATCCAAGGCGATGCACTTTGAGTGCATTTTCTATTATCGGATTGACGGCAGTTTGTCAAAATTGTAACTTTATGGTATTTATATCGTGATGGGTATTCTATGACGAATCGGCTCTGTGCGATCTCACGGTGGATCGACCCCGTGTATTATAGCTTTTTTATTTTTTAACACTCGCCACTGGCATAATCGTGATGCATCTTACCGATCCACGTCCTTGCATAGTTTTGCAAGATTCTTCGCGAGGACTTCGACTCTACAGACTCGTTCGTGAGTAAGCGAATGTCCTCGACATGGGAAATATCATGTAGGTGATAGTCAAGAAAGGAATAGCTGGGACGCTGGGTTTTAGGTTTCTCGTATTTGCCTCCAATAGGACAATGCGGAATCGCTGGAGATGAGCGGGATATTCGGATGAATTATTAACAAAACCCTTGTTTATTACGTTATTCACATTCTGTACAAACATATTTTACATAAAGTCAATTATCATCTACGTAATAACTTCGCGCACGCATTCCACTGGTCTGGAATTCTGGGCGTTTGAACAATTTCGAGTGATAGCTCTAATCAATTGGCAATTTCGAAATACCCAAACAGAAAGAGTATTACCAACACCGATGTTCTAAAATATATTTCGCACGATTCTTCTGCTCTTTTTTTAATATATATATATATATATATATATCGTTCGTGACAGGCCTGGCGGGCTTGATCCACTCCGATCAATAAATTATTTAATGGACCTCGTCGCGAAGGGGATAAATCAGATTGGCGATGCGAAGCTTTGCTAAAGTTAATTCTGAATTCGCTGCTGATATCGTTCGTGACAGGCCTGGCGGGCTTGATCTAAAATATATTTCGCACGATTCTTCTGCTCTTTTTTTAATATATATATATATATATATATATCGTTCGTGACAGGCCTGGCGGGCTTGATCCACTCCGATCAATAAATTATTTAATGGACCTCGTCGCGAAGGGGATAAATCAGATTGGCGATGCGAAGCTTTGCTAAAGTTAATTCTGAATTCGCTGCTGATCATAGGTATCCCCTAGACTAACGATAATTATACAATAACGAAACAAACTATACATTTATAAATATATTACGAATTTCTTATTGCACGGCTGCACGATATAGTAAGATTCTCAGATCCAGAGAAGAGTAGAACGGCAGACAAAAAAACAAACAGAAAAACTTAATCGGTAAAAATTAAAAAATTACAGCTGCTGGCTGTTTCGTTTTCTTAAACCTTTAATTTCCGATAGCCACCTTATGAAGTCTCGTCGTGCTTGTGGATTCGCTTTAACGTTGCCAGTGTCAAATATTCGAGCGTGTCCTTGCCGATGAAATTTTCCATTTGATCCACTGATTTACAAGTCCAGTCCGAAAATTCGTTTTGGCGTAAAGGAAACGTACAGTGTCCCGTTATGCGAACGAACGTAGGTAACGATTTGAAATAATCGATAATAATGGAACTGACAGCTAGCACGTGATCTCGTGATTCCTGATGACAAGGAGATTCAGCCCCATTTAGCCGCTATCGCGTAAAGTGATCTAAGGAGTTCGAGTGCTCTGTTATCGGAGGCTGACTCCGATACCAATGGCAATGAATTCTTTGCTTCTCCCGAGTAACCGTCATCCGATCTTCTGGACAATATAGCAGGACTCTCCGTAGTGCTCTTGAACCTTCGACGAGCTTTACTTCTGAAAGTGGTAATGGGAGGTGTGCCGGACGTGGTTGTAGTCGTACTGGTTCTACTGGACGTCCGACCTCGGGATTTCGTATTTGATCTCATGGAAACTCTTGACCTGCCCGCAGGAAGATTCAGCCTGTTTAAGCCGTGAAGAATTTCCGTAGACTCCCCCTGGCTGAATTCATTAACGGGCATCCTCAACAAAGCGTTCAGCAATCGTTCCTTCTCTTCCTCCGTGGTCTTGTTCGTGGGCCCAATGCAATGGTTTATGAGGAGCAAGACCAGCTGCCTGACCGTTGAATTATTCTCAGCCTGCTTCATTATTCTCATCAACGTATTGGAGCTGCTGGCGTTCAAATTACCAAACATCTCCTGGGCTTTTATGATCTCATTTTCGGTAACGTTAAACGCGTTCTCATTAAACCTAGATGGCAGAGCTGACGGCGCCGAAGAATCCTGTGGTACAGAGTTCGTCGAGGACACTGAGGATGTTATGGTGGTCGTGATACTCGAATGTGTAGTGTAGGTCGGGGTTGGGGTCCCAGTGACATCCTTCCCGTAGGCAGTTGGCAGTAACGTGAAGGTAGTCGGAGAATCGTTACTGTTTGCAGTCCACTTCCAGGTTGTGGAAGAGTCGCCGTTGTTGTAATTTTGAGCTGTTACCCCATTAGTGGCACCAGTCACGAGACTATCCTTTGTAGAGGGTGTAGTACCGTACTCTGCGGACTCCGTGGCACTAGAATCTAAAGTTGGACCATCCATCTTATGGTCCGATGACAAACCATTGTTGATATGATTCGGATCAAGGTAAACCGTTGTCTCCCAGAGTTTGGTTACGGTCGGGGAGGAAGTCCAATGATCATCCATAGCCTGACTCGTGTAACTGTAGGTACTTCCGCTACTTTGCATGGTCGTCACTGGTACATCCTGGACGATAGTTCCAGGTCGAGCCGTTGTCTCTGCTGTGCTGGTTGACGTAATGGGTTCTCCGGTTTGGACTAGGGTGGTGGAGGAGATCGGTGGGGTCTCCGTTGCCTTTGAATTCTCTGTCGTGATTTCGTTGTATCTGTTTCTGTAGTTTGTATAGAGACTCCCTGCTGTTATAAGAGACTCGTCTTTGTTTCTCCATGGCGATACAGTTGTTTCATAATAATTTATTCTCTGCGGTTCTCGGCCCGATGACACTTGGCTGCTCTTTCTCGACAGGGGAGTGGTGGAACTCGATTTAGTACCGGCTGCGAGACTATTGGACACGTCTGCGTCAAATGCACGTGGAGTGACGCCGTTTCCGGGTTCGTCGTAGCTGGTATAAAACGGAGCTGTCAACTCGTCATTCGGTAGGTTACTAGATAGGGGGTTAATATTCTCTTGGACCGATGAGCCCTTTACGTAGGAACTGGGCGTAGACGATGCCACGTAATTGTCGCTTATAGGAGTCGCATCAAAAGGCTTCACGTATTTTCCATAAGGTTCCGGCGTGTTGATGGAGTTATTCTGGAAACCACCGAATCGATTATTTACACTGGACGATGATCCGGTAGGAAAATAATTTTCGTACGTTCCATCTGGACCAGTTGGGTCCACGGGACCGGCAGGTCCTGTATCATAATTTCGAATACCATTATTGTCATTGGATGTTTCGAAGGCATGATTTACTTCGAAGGCGAAGGAATTTCCTACAGGCTCTTCGGGAGATCCGTAATAGCCGTTTTGAGGACCCTCGAATGATACATCGGTCGCGAGCGATGGGGATGCTGTAGAGTATTGGTTATCCGAAGAAGTGGTGTAGTAGTCTCCTGTTGATGTGTACGACGTCTGATAAGTGGTCTCCCCAGGGAGGTTGGAATTCTGAGTGGTCGTGGGATATGGTGTTGTAGGTCGCCTCCTTCTGGAAGCCTTGGTGACGTCAGAAAAATCCAGGACCTCATCCTTCTCCTTGGTAACCGATGAATAATCTTCGGATGTTGTCGGATAGAAGGTTGTTGTTTCGGTGACCTCGTCGCTGGTGGAACTGGGTGGAGGTTCCGTGGGTCTGATCTCAGTAAGGACCTTCTTGAATGTATCAGGATCCTGAAGATAGGCAGACAGGGCATGCGTGAACACTTGAGCAAGCTCACGAAGCTTCGTGTTGTTCGTTTTCCTGGCCCCACTCAATGGACCTTCGCTCTGCTGAAGATCCAGATCGTTTTCGTTCTCCGTGCTGGCGTCATCCTCTACACCAGATTCCCCAAAACGATTTTCAGTACCGGTACTGTTATCCAGAGCATTGTTAAGATTAAATAATTCCGTGTAGGAAGTTATCGTGTGCTCGGTTAATAAAGTTTTAGGCAGATCAGCGTTGCTCTTGTCCTTTTGAACTGGCTCATCGTCCACGTTACTTTTACTCTCGATTTTAACGGCAGGGTCGTCTTCTGCCTCGTTAGAGTCAAATTTATCGGTGGCCGTGGCGAAATATAATGCCAGAGAATGCAGAGTGGAGGGTCCAGACGAAGCTGGAATATTTAATCCAGAGCGGCTGTTACTGTTATTATTGTGTCTATTCAAACTGGTACTACCCTCCAAATCCTGAAGGGAGTGCAGCATGTCAATGGCATGCTCTTGTTCCGTGAGTGGTCTGCGTTCAAATCCTAAATTATTTGGAAGATAGGCAGGTGTCTCCGTGGTTTTCTCAGGCAAGTAAGTAGCTCTGGACCGAGTCGTGGGTAAATAATTTCCTCGTTCTCGTGCTACCAAATTGTTCTGTGTATTTCTGTAAACGGATCCAGTAGAGCTGTAGGTAGGTACCGTTGCAGTATAAGCCGGTGGTTTTTGCGTGGTTGTCGTTGTGGTCGTGGAGTAAGCGTAGTTCTTCGTGAAGGGAACGTACGGCCCGAGCGTGGAGAATATTTTGCCCTGTCGGTACGTAAAGCTTTTGTCGTATGGACTGGAGGTTGCTGAAGTGACGGTACTTTCCTGATAACTCTGCGTGCCTCTGAAAGGCTTCTCCGTGGAAGCGCTTATCGCGTTTGCTCGATAATCCTGCCGAGTGCCCAGCGTGTCCTTCGTCGAAGACGTCGGCCCGCTCCATTGACCATTTCCTTCAGGCTGAGAGGATTTCTCCGTAGCGGAACTCGTGGCAGATGTATTTTCATGGTAAACCAAACTTGCTTGCGAGTTGGACTTCTCGCCATAATTCTGCGCTACGGTATCGCCATTCGTACTCAACGTAACAGCCTCTTGTCGATAACTCTCGGTATTCAAATAGGGTCGCTCCGTTGAAAATGTTCCTGAAGCCTCGTTGTAATCTCTACCGATTTCCGAATCCTCACTGGAGTTTTTCCTGTCCTCGAAGGCCCTCGTGGTTACGCCGTTTACCGAACTTTGCCTGTAAGTCTCGGTATTCACGTAGGGTCGCTGCGTCGAAGGGTCGATCGACTCTGATCCATCCTTATATGCCTCTGGATTTTGAGTACTCTGTTGATAATTTTCCGAATTTCCATAAGGAACCACGGTCTCCGAAATCTTTGGATATGCAGTAGCAGTGACTGTATCCAAACTCGAGTATGTGGTCTGGCTTACCGAATCTTCTCTATAATAATTGTTACCCGCTAAATATGCTTTCTGGGTAGTTGTCTGCGGCTGATTTTCATAGGCAGAGACGGTGCCGGCGGTAGTGCGGGGCTTATAGATTGGGGCGAATGTGGGAAACGGATAAGCAGGAATCCCAGGGTGGGCTCCGAACAGTGGCCGCCCATTTATTTCCTTCCCAGGAAGCGCGGCGCTCGACTCCTGCTGAAAATTCTCCGTGCTCGGTACGCGATTCGTGTAGAAATTGTTAAACTGATTCGAACTGTACGCCTTATTGTAACGATTTCCTCTGCTCGATGCGAAAGCTGCGCTTTCGGCCAGTTGCTGGTATTCCTTAACGGGATTTCCGGTGGTTGTGCGGAAGGTCGTCGTTTCCGTGTAAAGCGGCGTTACTCTCTGCACCGGTGAATTCAGGTTGTTTCCGGAAATAATTCTTGACTTCGAGCTCCTCGCGTTCTGCTTCTCGTCTCGTTGCGCGTTCTGATCTGCCGACGAGCCGTAATAATCCTGCGGATTTTTATTCTTCCCGTTTCTCTGGTTGTAATTCCCAAATTGGTTGCCTTTGACATTCTGACTTTCGACCAGCTGATTCTGCTGTCCGGACCGATAGTCGTTCGAGTTACCGTTGTAGCTGTTGAAGTTATCATTCGACGACTGGGACTCCTCGTTCTTATTGTAATTTTCACCGGTCCGACCAGCGACTACCCCTTCATCTCCGTTTCCGGTTCCGGTTCTTCCGCTCGACTGCGTGTTGAAAGGATACTTCTGCCCGAAGGGTTCATTAGATTTATTACCCTGCTGATCAGATTGTATCTGATTTGGTCCATTAGCCGACTGTCCAAACGGATTGGTCCGTCCGTTCTGCCTGCCATCGTAATTCGAATTCTGCGTCTCCCGATGAGATGCTGGACCGTCCTCGGATCCAGCAGCCCGATGGAACTCGGAATTCATCTTCCTGACTTCTGCGCGTCTCCTCTCGTCTTGGGCCAGCTGTTCGGCGCTCTGCTCGTAGAGTTCTACCGACTTGCCGCAGTCCACCTTGAACCACCAGTCGCAGATCAATTGCGACTGCTGGAAGATGGTGCCGTTGGGACACAGGAACGAGATCTTCCGTCCGTTGTCGCAAATGTGGAAAACCTACAAATAAAAGAAATCATAGTTCAGTTTTCTCTCTACATTCGACACTCCGATCCTCTTCGAGTATCCTGAACTCTTCGTCATTTTGTTTTTTTTTTTCTAAATGCTTTAAACAAACTTTTCAAAAACGTGCAAAACACGTCGATACGTATACCAATGCTTTGGTACAGGAAGTCAACAAAGAAAATACAGATATCTTGTACAACTTACTTGACAATTTGTCTCCAAGTCGGCATAATATCCGCCTTTCAATCCGCGACAGCTAAAGGCAGTGCGTGGAATCGTCGTTAATACTGGAAAGTCGACACCAGGTTGTCCCATAACTCCTACAAGGTAAACGACTCGTGACAGTCCAAAGAACAAACAATGGTAGGCATGCACAAACAAATAAATAAACAAGGCAAAAAAAAACAGCGTAAAATAAAATAACCAATCACCACTAACAAGTCTGAAAAAACATGAAACTAATCATCAATAAAATGCAACGCTCCAATAAATGAAAAAAATTCTATACGTATACAAAAATTCTCTATATATAAAAAAAAACACACACAATTCCCTAAATTCAGGGATAATAAAATAAATCTACAAAACGCGCGTGCGTAATTTTCCGAAAAATCTTGAAGCGCAGTAAATGCAATGAAATCGAGAAAAATTGTCGTGCAAAACAGTGATTATATCAACTGCGTAAAGTGTACCCGCTCCTTTCAGCCACTCCTTAAGGAGGTCCTCGTTGCCGAAGAAAACTAAGAAGAAACGTATCGTTAAAAGAGTCTCGACTAGAAAATTTCAAATCGCTAGAATCGTGGTGAATAGGATATTAAACCTTGATACACTTGGTACTCGCCATTCTTCTCAGGGGCCAATCTCTTGACGATCTTCTTCAGTTCTTCCACGTCTTCCTCCGAGGCCTCCAGACTGGCCAGATCCAGTTCCGTGAGGAATTCCGGAAGCCGTGCCTTCTCCTCCCCGTGCGACGCCTGTAACGAGCAACCAGCAACCAGCAATTAGTTTAGACTTCTTGGGAGGATCGGACGTAACAGGGATAGGTCTTCCAACCGAACAAGGATCCATCATAACACGTAGACGTGTAATTTCCAAAAGCTTCCTTCCGCCTTATCAAGCAATTCTAGCGGGGAATATTCAAATAATTGTAATAGTCCAGGAAACAGGGGAATAGCTATGATAACGGAAGCATCGAGATCGGAGATTGAGAACGGTAGAAGGTCATTTGCCATTCGACGTGAAATTTCAAAGTGGCCACTTAGCTGCATACAAAATCAATTTTATAATACGAGCTGCTGGTATCACGTGGCTAGGGTCACGGAGTGAATATAACAAACAATAAGGATCAGTGGAATCGTGTTAATGGATCGTAAGAATTGACGAGGCTCCACGGCCGGCATGGAGCGCTCGAGTCATCTGGGGGGAAAATGACTGTGGGGCACGATACGTGATAACCATTACGTGAGAGAATAAAGGGAGAATATCTCGCTGAATATCTTGGTAATTTTTATTTCTGGTATCGCCGGAAACTAAACTGCAGAGACTTCCCAGGTATACTCTCTCACTCTGTATGTGCTATATGCATACATATGTTCTATGTAGAAGAACGTCACTTCTCACGGAAGAGTTCTCCAAAGTCAACGGTAATATTTCCTTACGGTAGAATGACCCGAGGAGATACGGGCGTCGATCGATTTATACCTGGAATTGCCTGATGAGGGAATTGCACAGCGATCGGTCTATGCCCATCGCTGAAATTCCCTGGTACCATGCATCTCCATCCGAGCGCGTCGAGTATCGTAAAACTGTCACTAAATTGATATATGCAGATATAGTGCCTTTGAGGTCGGCAGTGAATTGGTCGATTGTTGCATTTCGAATAAGAGTGAAGAAACGCGTGACGAGTTTCAGGGAAAAGGATTTCCATGCTTCACGTTAGACCGGAAGTCCTGAGAGGTTGAGTAAAGTGGAGACACAAGATTGTCCGAGTTAATCAAGGAACACTTCCATTTTGCCTATCCGAGGAGCTCCTGGGAATCCTTGAGGATCCACTTCCGTTCGCCTCGGACTCCAATCTGGCTTCCTGCTCGGAGTTCATTAGCGCAGCCAAAAGTTAATTAGTCCGCTCGTAGCCTGCGCCGTTCCGCCGCTGGATAATTGCATTGAGAAATTGCCGATTCTTTAAATCCAGACTCTCCGTCCACTTCCGTTTCCATCAGTGGCTTCGATTCCCTCGATTCCCTCAATTCCGTCGATCCTGTCGATCGCGGCAACAATGCGAAAGTGAAAGGCAATTCCGGCGCCATATACCCGCGAAATGCAGGAACTCGTTACTTCGTTACATCGAACGGAAATTCGATTCGCCCCAAAATTGCTCTCGGAATCGTTTCCCGGACTTGCGGGGGTAGTACGATAATTTCCTTAGCCGGCAAGTCCAGTTCTTTAGTTGGCCCTTTTGCCCCCCTTTTCCCACTCCCAACCAATCCTCATGACGCGGCGGACCCACTTTCAATCGGGTATCGAATTTCTCTACCGCGAGCTCAATCGAGCGATTCCCTCTGGCCGATGAAAATTAACCCCATTGATTATTCCATTTGAAGATTTAATTGCCGCCACCCCCGCACCCACTTATTCGCTTAGCGCCCGATGTTCGTAAAATTCATTCAGCAGATTTCCAGATCCGGTCCGTTTCCCTTCCTTGAAATCTAATGGAATTTCCATGTCCGCCAGGCGCAACGCTATACCGACTGCTGACACTTGGGACGCTGAAAGCAGAAGGTGTCTGCAAATATCCCGATTCCCTGGAAAATAAGTAAAATTTTTCCAGCCCGACTCAATCTCTCTCGAGTTCTGCGAATTCCGAACGCTCGACGATAGGCCACCCTTCGTACAGCCGAGTGTCATACGTTACCGCCGACAGGCGCCTTATGCCGACTGACGCTTGAAATTTTTCAACCCCCTTCGCCATCCCCTGTATCATCCCTTCAACCCAGCCTAACGCGGACACCTATTTCCCTTTTGCTTCTTGCTACGTTATATCGATCGTTACTTCTTTTTTTCCTCTTTTTAATTTTTTTTTTTTTTTCTTTTTTTCTTCAATATACATAAATCTCTCTCGGCAAACTTTTTCCACGTAACGACGTTACTGCGAATATTTTATAATACACTTTACACGCTCTTGTTACTAAAATGCAAAAAGTTTTCTGTGAACTAGCAGATTCTACTACTTACCCCCCTCCGGCTCGTTCGATCAATTTTCCAATATTCCCCGGTACACCCCATTTATCTACGAGGAGCTCAATGCTTGCCAGGATTGAGGAAACCCCTTGGCTGCCCCTGATAAATCTAACGACATGCTTGTATAATAATTTGAAGATCGTTCGTAAAATCGAAACGTAACTGGCACGCGTTCCTGCTCCCCGGTGAACCTCTCAACTTCTCCTCCGCATAATTAAACATTTCAACGTTATTAAGGTAAAGTTTAGCAGAGTGCGGGGACAAATTGCCTCGGGACATTGAGTTTCGTAGCAAACGTAATTGCCCATGCGGTTTAACGCTTAACCGTAACAAGAACGACCGTGCTGCCACCTGCCTAAAATACCAGAACCAGTCCTACAAATTTTCAGTATCCACCAATTTTCGTTCCTTTCGAATCCTCATCTCGACGTACGACTGTAAGACGAGGATCTCGTTGAGATACCTCCACATTCCTATCGACAGAGATTCGCTCCAGTCTGATAAGGAGACCAAGGCCTAAAGCGAAAGTCCGGCAGATGAATGGCAGACGTGCCAATCTGGATTTACCTCGATACCCCCATTACGTTTGGCAAAGATAACTCGGCTGCGATTCATCATATACCTCCATTCGACTCCGTCGATGATCCAATTCAATTAGTACATTGACTTGTACAGTCATTATTTTTTCACCCGTTATTCTGCCTGACATAATATCACCACGTGTGTGATTTAATATACAGCCAACATGGGAGTAGCGTTTGAAATACGTCATTAAGTCGGTGTCCCTTCGTGACGTCACTCGAGTCCTCTAATAGCAGGCAAACAAGGAGCCGTCCGTATCGGCAGTCAAACTTTGATTAAGCTTTCCGGAAGGCTCGAAATCGCACAGGCTGCATTGGCAAAGTTGGAGGTAGAAGTCAAGGCCCGCTGTGCGCCACCGCAATACGTCCCTGGATTGCTTCCTGAACTAATGATCGGTACCGAGCAGACCCCCTACGGCGCGTAACTATATCGCGAATCAAAAGACGGTATTAAGGCAGAAAATAACTGAGAAGACACACGAGAAGTCAGACGGTACGGGACACGTGGAATTTCCTTGTGAAAATGATATTGGGATTTCAAGGACTCGCGCGTATTGAGACATAACCTAAATAAGGTCAAAGGTCACTCACTGCACTTCCGCAAATGCTCCCAGCGAAGACTCGTAGGCGACAGGAATCACGTTACAAGCGTCCCTGAAGACCGTCGACTTATCAAAGCTGAATTCGACCATTAGATTGCAAGTAAAAATGTTTCCAACGATTCAGGATGTACGTAGCGTAACGTTAAACGGATCCGCTCGGCGTGAAATATGACTTAAACGGTTGTTAAATTGAAACGGTTATGGCTCCGTGAATACGTTACCTGAAATATACGTACGTACGCGTGCAGCTCCGATATACATATATATATACCGGAGGAAGAAAATAAAGGTAGGTAAACTCAGTCCCTGGACTGTGCATCTAACCTGCACCGTGTAGGAATTGCAAGGGCGGTTGCAATTGCGCAAAAGCTACGTTGAATAACGTTCCGTCCGGCGTATCCACGTATTCGCATACGTATCACGTACGTCTGCCCGTTCGAGGTGGATACGCGGACTAACTTTGTATTTTCTTAGCCGACACGTAATTTAATTTTAAAAATCTCAAGGATCCTCGAAGGAGGATTCGCTTGGAAAAGTCTAAGAAAAATTCGCTTCCCATTTACGCGTCCGCGCGTCGTTAATGAGCCGCGAGAGATAGGAAACGATTTTACGTGGTTCGTTGAAAACTCAAGGTGACCCGTGAGTTCGCTGGCGGAGCGACAAGGATAGATGATAAAGTGGCTGTTTCCGCGGGGAAACTGTGACTCGGCAGGAATGCATTTAAACGGAAAGTTTTTAAGGTCTCTCACAGCTGCAGTTTTGGGTATTCGATAAATGCCAAGGACGGATTTGCGTTTTCATCGGAGCGACAAAGATCGCCCCCCTTACGGGCGACTCGGTCGCTTCTTTGGGTCGGTGGCGGAAAACAATGAGCACCGTGTGGGGAATGGAGCTCGATGGGGTTGGAGGACTGGGGGGGGGATCCTCCTCCCGTGGCGCGACCATCTTCCGGCATCCTATCCTCGATCCACTCAAGTACCTGGTGCCACAGTTCCAGAAGTCTTCATTCTGTCCTTCTCTTTCTCTTCTCAACAAGCCTCCTTCTCATGTACGCATTGTTCCGTAATGGATTCCGTTTGAGTCCTACGTTACGTCATCCGCAATCCAGTCCCTCTTCAGTCCATCCAGTTCCACGGGGCTGTCTGTTGCCTGTCCCTTTGCCAGACAGCCAGACAGCCAGACAGCCATCCTTCCTTCCCTTCGTCCTTTTGCAATGCGGCGGGACGTCGACGTCGCGACGCACCTCCCTATCCTTATCTCGCTCGTTACCCCGTCCCCGTTGCTCGCCCTGTCTCACTCTCTACCGCGTGCCTTTTCTGCCTGCTGGCTCCGGGGAAGAATCCCCTTTCTATAATGACGTTGCATCACGGAATATCCCATTGTCTTGCCAATCTGATGGGCTCCGCCGGAAACTCGAGGCTTCTTGCTCTTGAGATAGTAGAACCTCGTCTACGGCGGCCCGGAGCGTGGCTACGTTAACGCGCGGTTAGGTTCACGTTTTATTCAGACGAAAGTCACGCTTTTCCGGGCGCAAAGCTGTTGGATGTCCAGATGAATTTTACATGGTATATTTAAAAAAAAAAAAAAAAAACTGAAGGGCCAGGATTCTTTTTCTTGGGTCATTCAAAGGGAAAAGTACCGAGCGAATGAGTGATTTTTCAAAATTTCATCTCGAAATTTCCAAAACTAATTGGACGCACCTATGAATTAGTACCATTTGGTTAGTCCGATTCGTGATGGGAATCCTGGCAGGAAGTGGCCAACGCGAATGGTACCGAGTGGCCTGATGGTTGTTGACGATCGGAGACGTGCACGAGAACGCAACAGAATTGTAAAAGCTTTCGATTCCGGAGCAAAGAGTCAGGAAGCTTTTAGAAATTTCTGAGACATTCGTATACGAATTGGCCTCGACTGTGGCTGGTAGGACGCGAGCTAATTTGCTAATTTAGTATTAAGGGAACCGTGGAACTTTTAATGGAAAAAGTTGGCGCTACCTGAACTCTCGGCAAGATCATCCGCCCGCGATCGGACACCTGAGAACGATCGAGCGAAACCCAAAGGCACCCGAAGGCCAGGCATTGAGCGTCAGCGAGTAACGCGAACTCCTGCCAATTAGCGTCGCGACGCCCGGCGCCGCAGAGGAAAGTCTTCGCTCGAAAGGTTATGTTTGCGGCACAGGAGCGCGAGGGCGCAAAGCCAGAATTAGTCAGATACCGAATGGCGTCTTTGAACGTCCAAAGTCCCGTGAATCTTTGGTGTGCGCAAGAGAGAGGGAAAAGCGGAACGGGAAGTGACGGAGATAAAGCGCCGGTTAAGATTTCTCAGGGATGCGGCAAACAGACAGAAAAATTGCTCACCTTTGTTCCCCGATGACCCAGCGCCAGGTTGGCCGCTACGCCTGAAATAAACAAAAAGTGCCTATATCAAAACGTGGCCAATTAAGAGCAGCGTCGTTAAGACTTGGTGCTCGGGAGCAATTAAGCTGATTCCTTTCATCCAGCGAGATCTGGCAACGCGTTAAAAAAGAAAAGGAAGAAGGTGAAAGGAAAAGAAAAAAGAGAGAGAGAGAGAGAGAGAGAGAGAGAGAGAGAGAGAAAAGCACAAGAAGAAAGACCTCGAAGGTAATCTTTGGAGACACTCTTTCGTATCTTCGCGGCGGGAATCGTCCATTGAATCCATTTGAATACGCGTTCGCCTTTAGGTTTCCTCATCGACAAGCACAAAAGGCAAGATGCTCCCCAAGTCAGCGACAGAAGCCTTTCTTTGCCCAGTAGAGATGTCAGTGGTTCAGCCTGTGTAAAAAAGAATACCAAATGGACGCAGGACACCGGGAACTCGGAAGGGGCCAGAGCCGAATGTCACAGGCACTTTGGAGAAGACACGGGCGTCCCGACGCCCGACAGTCGCTTTGATTAACTAGCGCGAGCTATTTAGCCTGTAATTAGATCACAGGCATGTCGCAGCCTTCCTGCCCTTCTGCCGCCTCCACCCCCCTCCACCCCCCTCCATCGCCTCCCTGTTAGCCTGTCGCATTTCCAATTAACCCCGAGGAGCACGAGAGCCGTAGATTAATTCCTGCTACTCCTCGAGAAGGAGACTGACGGAAAACAAAGGATTCCCGTTAGGAGGGCCTTTTCTCTCTGTTCCATTAAAACGGGACGTCTTTGACGTTTTCATCTTTCTGTAATCATCCCTGTTGCGCTTACAAAGTCAACGGCCCAAGTCACAGCCCAAGTCACAGCGTAAGGCAGGAATTTCGTGAATCGCTGCGTCCTTCGGCTGGAAGATATTTGTCGCTTTACGAACGGGCAACGTTACGTCGCTGGACAACCACCACTGGTGGGTTTCTGATAGACGAAATCTTGCAGATCGCTAATATTTGTCCAATTCGCACGGACACGTGTCGATTTACAGTTCGGTAGAATCGATCGCACGACAGAGTTAAGTTTTGAAAATTATAGTTTATCGCAGATCGGACCAAAAATATTCCCAAGATAAATTGGATCGGTTTGCGAAGAACGGCGCGTTTGTATTTGCGCTTGGTATTGCCTTTCACAGTAATAATCCTCTTAGCTGGAAATTCAGCCTCCTCGAGCTAGCGGAGCCACAAAGGAAAAATATTTTTCAAAAACCCGTACATCTCAATCGAGGGCTGATGCTAGGCTGATTTAATGCTTTGTTGTCAAATTTTATTTTTTTTTTTCATTAAAGAAAATTACGGCAGTTCTAGCTGGGTACAGAATTGACAATGGGCCTGTAGGAAATATAATATCTCAGGTTCGTTCGAGTTAATTTTACCGTGGTTGCAAAGTAGTGCAATTCGTTTAAGAATTTCATTACGTCAATCCATTGAGAATTTAGGTAAAGAACATTTTTTCGCAAAACGTCGAAAAGTCAGGGTCCGCCGAGGGAGACCAGTGGATTTTATATTGGCAGGCTTGACTCCCCCAGGCTTCGTGCAATAACTGCGCTCGACTTCCGGTAAACCCGCAGCGAAGTATCGTAGTAAACAGAAAATACGAACTGACCAAAAAGCATACTGCGAGCTTCAACATTCTATCCAGCGCATCGAGCTTTGCCCACGGGTTAACCAATATGACAGCTCGAATGCGAAGCTACGGGTGATTCAACAGACTCGAATTACCTCGCAGGTATAATTATACCAAATGCTATTCCTGGCATTAATCAAGACTCAAGTGCTAGATGCACTCTAGCATTCGCGTGCTAATCAATAAGCATAGCACCTGCTGTGCATTCCAAGCAAAATGTTACTCTTGATCATCCCAGCAATAACATCCTTAAGCATTACTCAAGTGAAATTTCGACAATTTAGTCTACAGGACTTTTTCATTCGATCAATGACTTCTCATACGTACATAGTATACGTACGTTTTCATCATGGAGAGAAATGGCAAGAGCCATCCATCCATCCGATTCGTCCATTCAAGCCAAAGTGTCCAATTCGTCACAGGAATGATCGGGACAGTCACTGACAACTGACATTGATAAGAGCTAACTGGCAGGATCAACAAGGACGATTTACCGGACTGTACAAGCTCTGCGATTGATTACGTGAGACCAATCAGTATCACCTAACTGCGTCCTTGACAGATCGGTGCAATTTGCAAATGCTATCAGGGATGAATGATCGTCACGTGAACGTCATAACACCGTTCAGTGTTACGTAAATGATATTTTTGTAAATATTGGCATCCTGTCGTAAATCCATAAAAAAAAAACAAGTGACACTTTTTTGTTATACCGACATTTACCGACACCCTCGGAGCCTTCGAAGGTTCTCATCCATGACGATTGCCCAAAATCGAAAGCACTCGTTCACGAGTGTCCTGCTTTCTTTTCTGGAATCAAGAATTCCTTTGTCGCGTCTCGGGACTTCGTTGTACCGTATATACGTATGGAGCACGCAATTAATAATTTCCCTTGAAGGTTTCCCGTGACTCTGAGTGCTTCGTCGAGTATCGATTGACTTCAATTTACTTGGGAAATTTCAATTTCACATTTGTCCCCTCGCTCCGTGAGAAAAACATGAAACCTGTAACTGAAAAGACTCTACTTTTTTTTTTTCCTGAACAAGAAATTACACACGTACCTTCGTTCAACGATTTTACAAACAGTACGGAACATTTTCTGGCAATATACTAATTGGCCATACGAGCTATACACGTGTACAGAGCTATTCAGCCGAAACGTCATGGTCGATCTGAACGAATGGGTTAAAAGCAGTGGTTCAGCGGAACAAGCTAAAAGATGAAGAAACAGTATCCGTAAATACAGGTACACCCTGTATACAGGAAATATAATAAAAATCGATAAATCGAACGCAAATGATAATCAATTACAAAAAATATAAAAAAAAAAATTCGCAAAGATGCTGATAATAAATTTTGGAGCGCGTCCAGTCTACCAAAGTACCAGATGCCAACGTAACACACGTTTCCAGAATTGAGAAAATAAATTCCTCTCACGTTTTCCTATCAAGACACCTCTTTTTTTTCTTCCCACCCGACGCCCTCGCACATAAAGGCTTTTCCCTCGATGGCGATATCCGTCGTGATATCCATTCCTGGAGATTATCGATCGCCCACAAAATGTCTCTTATTACGGCCCCAACGGAATCTTACGGCATCGACGAGCCACTTACGCTAATAACAATCGGTCGATGTACGAAAATCGCTAGGAATTGTTGGTTAACGATCACGTGCGAATTCACCGCGAAATACCGGAGGAGCCGAAGCGAAAAAATAAGCAGAAACTCAGAGGAAAAAGTAATAGTATGCAAGAATCGCGCATGATTTTACCCTAGAATTAAGGATTATCTAGATTTATCCCTAACCTGATTAAAAGTCCGATATCCACCTTTGTGACCGACATAAGCAAAGTGCTTATCTATGAATATCGAAACTATAGAAATAAAAAAAATACATACTCCACGCTCACCGTGTATAAAATATAAATAATCCAATGTGCCGATCGATCAACAACTTTCCCTTCCACAGTCTCCTCGATCTTGGAACATTAATTTAACAAGTACTCGACTCTGTTTACGATACGATGGACTGACAGTCGAATACGTGACATAACTTTTACGGGGAGATTCGATCATACAATATATACACACAAACACACGGTGCGCGTGTTCGGCCGGTCAGACCACACCGATCGATCTGGACCTCTCAGATACGAGTGACCCCCTTTTAACGACTCCCAGCCAACTGACGACATTATGACTGATGAACCCAGGAAGAAGCGAGAGTGGCTGAGAAAGGTAAACGAGTGAAAAAGTAACCCGTCCAAGAGCTATAAGTAAATTGCACGAGTAGTAACCAGGAGAGGGACATAGAGAGGGACAATCATAGAGCCATTAATTAAACGAACGCAATTAATTTGCGCGAACGAAGATTCGGCAGCTGGACACTGTGATACCGGCTATTTCAATATATCATTAGGATTCTTCTTGTTGGGCGAGATGAAGATTTTTCAAAAAGATCGCGACCTTGAGATATCGCCTCCGTGGTCCAGCTTAGGGTCATCAAAGAGACGATAAAAGGCTAAGGAGTCTGGGAGCGAGTACTTCGGAACGAGACGTGAGCGATTAAACAGACAAGATCGGAATGGACCCGAGACGCGAGATGCAGGTGTTGCCAACTTTCGGTAAGAAAGTTTTCAGGACAATGGTACTTTTCGTAAATTCACGAGTATCGACGTAAAAAGTGTGTCTGCACGAATCAATGCATTTTATAGATGCTCGATAGTTCAATATATATCTGATGAATGGCCAATCAACAGGTCACTGGCCGATTGTAAAATAAAGTCCTTGACTTTTGCCGCTGGTAGGATGCCGCATCGCTCCCACGCCTGCTACATAGGTAAAGAGTGACGCTAGATTTAGCATACCTCATCAGCTCGTCACTATGTATCATGGGGGGTAATAATATTTTTTCAAATGGCAGTCAGAGACCCTACTGATATATAAGTATTATCCTGACACGTGATTATTATTATGATTCAAATTATATCCGTGATTACATAACCGCGCTACGATCATCCTGTGAGTTCACGGTTAGGTCAGCCGATACACGTGCCCCGTATGCTCAGGTGAATTTACGGCAGGTAGGATTGACTCATCTTCGATCCTCGGTGAGTAACGCTTTGATGATTTAAGAAAAAAAAAAAAAAAAAACTGATAAAAATCAATTATCAAGGACGCGAAGATCCTTGTGCCACTGCGAGGGGCCGATCGGCAAATGACACGAGGTAAATCGTGACACGCTTGAGGATCCGACCTCTTGCCTGCATCGGCCATTCAATTGGAAATATATTTTCGGCGTTGACTTTATCCGCAGGATAATAACAAACCTGTTAAACGGCCTTGCGCAATCATTCGATCGAGGCTCCGGAGATGGACTGTCGAAAAGTTACGTGCTTTTATGCAGGAGAAAAATTCAACAAGGATGAGTCGCTGAGCCGAGCGAAATGTCATGTCGGCATATTGGATTTATTTGTAATGCACGAGGATTCATGGTTATCAGCTGCATGATCCTGGCCTCGAAGTATCAGTCCCACGGGGAACAATAGGGACGTTGGAGGACATCTTGGAGATCCTACTAATAACATTTACAATGTCTAACGTCGACCCCACGTGGTATCTAGGTTGAATTGCAACATCGTTTTGTTTGGACATAGAGATGCGCACCGAGTGTTGCCCTCTTGTAGCTCTCACCTCTCTCAGCCGTATTAGGTACGTATAGGTGCTCTCTCTCTCTCTCTCTCTCTCTCTCGGGGAACGAATGAAAAATATCACGTAGAATCTTTTAATTGACTTTTACTAAGAGAGAGTAGATGAGGTTGTAATAGATGAGAAGAAAAAAAATTTCTACTTACACAGAAAGAGGAGGAATTCGGGACCCATCGTCCTGGATGATCCTGGCCGTGGTATCCCTGCAAGAATAAAATAAGAATTAGGCTGGATCGACCATACGGTAAGAAGGAGACCAATTGATTCTTCTCGCATCTATAGACGCAAGAATGTTATGTCGTGTTCTATCGGGCTGCTGGATCTTGTCGTTTATCGTATATTTGCATAAGAAGATTGCAATTAGTTACCGGGCTTTGTTCCGGTTATAACACGGGCTTATTACGTAGGACTGATGCTGGAATATTAATAAGCGCTTACATAACGGAATTCTCCTTTCTGTATGTCTCTCCCTGTTAGTAGAGCAATTCGCCTCTCGAATCCCGTGGAGAAAATTACACAAGTAGCCAATCCAATATCGCACGTTGATCCGCGACGCGTGTAAATCCTTTGGCAAATTGTATTGAATACAAAGAGAAAAATGTGCAAAGTACGTTTCATTGAAATTGGGTTGTCGGTTTCGAGGTAAAATAACTCGGCCGAATGTCGTCCCTCGAGGTATTCACGGTAAAGGGAGCAGCCCCGTTGGGAAGGGCGAGTGTATATTGTGGTTAAATATTCATGCCAAAAGGACTGAGCCAGGAAATAATTAAGGAAAAACAGGTAAAACCATCACCCGTCCCCGATTCATCTCGATTTCATAAATCGTCTGTTTCTCTCTGACTGCCACTCGTCTCTCGTGTGCCGGTGTGCCAACCCGGCAGCCCCTGTCTTTACGATTTAGCAAATATTCGCATTTTACAAAATTGACAGTAACTCGGGATGCCGTAACTTGCTGGGTTTAAATTTTTCGTTATATTAATTTCTACCTCGATAATTTCTTCGATCACGCGATCAATTTTATCCTCGCGATATCTTCGATCAATTTGCGTAACACGGGTGGGATGACCGAGCGTAATAGCATTGGCTATTAATAAGAGTGGAGGTGGTCTCTTTTTTTTTTTTTTTTTTTCCTTTCAATAGATCCTAGCCAGTCAGGACGACCTAACCGTTCGTTAAGTCAGGACCGAGTAGATCGAGCGAGGAGAGGTCAAGGGTCAGTGCAATTACCGAGGCTACAATCTAAACTCCGGATTCGCCTTTCCCGGTCACCCGTTAATTATCCAATTGAATTAAAGTCCAGTCCACACGAGACGCACAATTATAGCAACAAACTGCCGATCGCTCGCGACTATACTTTGGCGAAGACGTTTCCAGTGAAAAGGTCTTTACGATTAGTCCTTGGAAGTTCGATCGCGGCGCCTCTAGCGGAATTTCTGCGAATCCAGTGATATATACCGCAGCCGTGTATTGCCAATCGGAGGAGTGTCTTCTTCTCTCCTTCCTTCGGTCTCCGTTCTCCTTTGTGCCAGCCAATCTAGCCTCTTGTCCCTCTGGCTACCCAACCGGCCCGTCGATTCTCTCCTCGTCGTTCGGCATTGTGGGAGAACAATGTTTTTGTCTCCCGGGCGAATAACCACTCGAGTAAAAGCGTGAGAAAAAGTCGCGCCGTTCGCGGGCAGACAGTTTTTTCTTCTTTCCTCGCCACGACGCACGCTTCCCCGATTAAATCTCTCGATCGCGCGCCGCTGTTCGGCGCTGGGGTTGCGAAAGGGCATGGCAAAATATAATTAGCATGGACGAATATAACTTTAAAGTGACACTCGGAAAATCATTGTAATTGAAGGATACGGCTTATCTGTTGGAACTTTAATTGTTGGGATTACGTTCCGAGTGAAACGCCTTGTGTCGTTGAATTCTGGAGATTTTACTTTTCTTTTTTCTTTTCGTACTCTTGCTTACCCACGCTTCGCTTTGTACACGCGTGAGAGATATTACGCAACCCCTTAATGGTGTTTTGCAAAATAATGCCAAACACAGGTTACACGCGTCTGACGGTGTTTTTGTTTAACGTCAAGGTTGCCATTTCGCGTGGCAAGACGTGCAGAAAATGAATGGAACCCCGAGTCATCGGACCATAATGATTCACATAAATCACCGTTCGCCACGTGTTTACGCACACGAGTCGAGATTCTAAGGATGTATTTCGATGTAACTGCAAACACAGTCTGGCAGAAAATTATATAGAGCAAAATTGATGAAGCTGATAAAATCCACGTGGACATTGAAGCATGCTCGCGTATTGGATCTGTTTGCGTAAACATAGCCGATGCTTGTTACGGCTGTATACCCTGTGGCGAATATGCACAAATTAATGATAAACAAGCGAACGTATTAAAAAAGAAAAAAAATCGATTCCACGTTAAACAGTGGAAAAGCATAATGAGTAGAAAGCTGAACACGTGAAAAGAGACTCCCCCTCAGATATAACAATAACAACCAGCGGCGCTGCTGCAATCTTCATTGAGAACGTGAAAATATTTTTGGAATTCTTACGTGCACTGTTTGGCTACCTGTGTTCGCTGCTTACTTTCAGATATTAAAATTGGGCTTTTTCAAAATTTTTCAAAATTTTCATTGACCCTTCAAACTAGGTCCCTGACCTATGAAAAATTTTCTGGCAATCGTGACGTCACGCGCGTACTCACTGATTTACGAAACGTGAGGTTACAAAGTTTCCTGTGATATTTTTATGGTGAACCGGTGAACGCAGAAAAGTGATGTCGATGATTACTCGTGGAAAAGCAGCTTGGCTGCGATCCATTGGGGGGGCAGATAATTCGCTTGAATCACGAAGCTAGGAAGCCACGTCTGCGATAATGCTCGGCCATTTATCCCATCGCGATAATAGACCGCTACTTTATCACGTTGGTAATACTCGGAAGCCGGTGGTCGCGAGTGTCCCGTTACGTGAGGGTAAAGGAGGCTGGATGAAAAATTCGAAAAACCTATGAAAAATTTCAAAAAGACTATCGAAGGCGAACTTGAACTTTCTGGTGAAAAAAAAAAAGTATGAATAAAAAAAAAAGTTTACCTTAGGATTCGATAAGTTCGACCAAATCCAAAAAGCCACTGACGTATCATTTGAGCTCCTAACAAATTTCTTCCCCCCGGATTCACGCCCTCGGACAAATGTTACCCAAAGCCCAAAATCCATTTTCAGTATTTTCATAGCCACGTCCAATCCCGGAAAATTCATCTCCCAAAATCCTTCGAAAAATACGAATAATTTAAGAAAACTAAAAAATATCAAAAATATTATTTTTTTTTCAATTCTCCCGGGACTCGCAAAGTCTGAGCATAATCCATTTAATAGGTTTGCCAATCTGCAATTCAATTACCGAGATTCGTCTGGCCTGAAATATTAATCGCGGACTTGAAACGCGAATCCAACGCCGAATTTTCCGGGCAATTTTCGAAAGTTCCCAACAACGAGGAAGCCCCTCCCTCCCTCCCTCCCTCCCCCC